TCTCTTTCTTTCTCTCTCTCTCTCGTTCTCTTTCTCTTTCTCTTTCTACTCTCTCTCTCCTCTCCTTTTCTCTCACTCTCTTCTCTTCTCTCTCTCTCTCTCTTCTCCTCTCTCTCACTCGGTTCAGCTCTCTCTGTATTTTCTCGAAGATGCACTGAACACTTAACCCAATTTTTCACGACTTCGAGGAGCAGAGGCTTGGCCGAGGGCCTCTGCTCCTCCTCTCTCTCCTCTCTCCTCTCTTCTTCTCTCTCTCTCTCTCTCTCTCTCCCGCTCTCTCTCTCTTCTCTCTCTCTCTCTCTCTCTCACCCATCCCTCTTCTCCACTCCTTGGTCCTCCACTCGGTTCAGTTTTTCTCCCGAGATGCCACTGAACACTAACCCATTCTTCACGACGTCGAGGAAGCAGCGCTTGGCGAGGGCTCTCTCTCTCTCTCTTTCTCTCTCTCTCTCTCTCTCTCTCTCTCTCTCTCTCTCTCTCTCTCTCTCTCCTCTCTCTCTTCTCTCTCTCTCTCTCACCCATTCCCTCTTCATCCTCTCTTTGTTCCTCCACTCGGTTCAGTTTTTCTCCCGAGATGCCCGCTAGAAACACTAACCCATTCTTCACGACGTCGAGGAAGCAGCCGCTTGGCGAGGGCCTAGCTTCTTAGGAGCTCGTCAACCTTTACCGAATTTGTGCAAGGGCGTGCTTATTGCTGGCGTTGTTTCTGTCCAACATGATTTTAATGTTCGAAGTCTAACTGTACTTGGAATGAGGACAGATATTTGAAGTTTATTGGAATATACATATATGCTTTGTTCTTATCAAATGCTTTTACGTCTCCAGCTTGTGTTTGTGTGCCTGTACGTGCATGTGTTTGTTTAATCTCGTTTTTGCACCGCTGGATCGACACACGGGCGGGGGAGCGCCTTGCACAACGCCCCCGCCTGGCGCAAGACCCCCGCGACGGCCGCTACTTTCGTGACTTGAATTAAGCCCAACTTTCACGTGACCTTTTCCGGCCAATCAAAAAGCAATCGCAGCGCCTAATAGCGGATGTGGCACTGCCGAGGCCTGCCGAGCCGCCTTGAGGCACTGCGCACGTCAGCAAACATCTGGGTAAAAAAAAGAAGTGAGGCAGTCATTATCATGCAGGAAATGAACACACCCTCCTCATTTCATCATTATTTTATCACACACACGCGCAGACGCACACTTGCATACACGAATGCATGCATCCAATATTATCTTCGAATATATTTATACATATATAATATATTATATTTAATATATATATATACATATATATATATATATACATACATACATATATATATATAATACATTAATTATATATATATATATATATTATATATCATATTTATATATATAATGTGTGTGTGGTTGTGTGTGTGATAATATAAAACCACACACACGCACGACACACAGATATATATAATATACATATATATAATATATAATATATAATATATATATATAATTATAAAATATATATAATATATATATAATATATATATATATATATGTATAGTTATCAGCATATAATATATACATATATAATAATATTTTATATACAAACCTATTTACATTATTCGTGTGTATATATTTGCCATTATGTATATATATACATATGTGTATATTGTGTGCGTGTTTTTGAGTGCGTGGTTGTGTGGGATGTGTGTGCGTGTTTGTGGTGTGTGGTGTGTGTGTGTTGGTGTTTACCAATGACACACAAAACGCAAACACACCACACACACAAAACACCAACACACACACACAACACATATATATATATATATAATATATATATATATATTTTATATTATATTATATATATATATGATATATTAATATTATATCATTATATATAATATATTACAATACATAGATATATGGGGGATAAGGATAGATATAGGGATATACATGCATATTATTATTATATATATATATATATATATAATATATACGTATATATATAGGTAATGATACATATATTGTTAATATAGAGAGGAGAGAGAGAGAGAGCATAGTATATATATATTACAATACAATATATACATACATATATATATATACGATATATATAAATTCGAAATATATATATATTATATATATATATAATTATATATATATAATATATATATATAGTATAAGCGCCCAAGCAGAATGAAAATTCTTCCGCTGCAAGCACCGCGCCGCGACCCCCGCTGCCAACCCTGTGCCCTCCCGGCTGTAAAACTCTCGGCACCTTTTGCGGTTGGAGGTGAAGGATTTGCATAAAGAGCATTCACGGGGATTCACTTTGCCGCGAGTGAAATTCATCTTGCGTTTTCTTTTTCTTTCTGTCTGTCTGTGCACAATATGTAGGCCTATGAATGTATATGTGTGTGTGTGTGTGATATACTTATTTCACTGCTATCTGACATTTGTATGCTGTGTCTGTCACACAACTGTCGACGCATTTTTTGCTGCTTAGGTGAGGTTCATTTCAATATCAACAATCCCTTTCACACTACTTGATGAAAACGTATTGCACAATCTTTAATATCCTCTCAGCTTTATGTGCAATGCAATCCATGTGTTAACGACATGGTTCACCTTGTTAGCAATAAGCATGAAATCAAAACAACCCTGTGCCTAAGTGTGCCAGCGCCTGGCCGTGCCGGGAAGGCTGCACAGGACGCCCATCCCAGCCTTGGCCTGCACCCTCTGACACCTCGATTTCGTGCACTCTCTCCCGCTCGACCCGTTTTCTGTGCGGTGGTAGAAAACGGGGATCGCTTCAGGGGATACTATCATGTTGCGGGGATATATATTAACAGGTGGGAAAATATATGAAGCATTTATTGGGAAAGAAATATACGCGGGTGGATGGCTGGATAAGAGAGTTAGCTGCTGAGAGATGGTGATGAAGGAGCAAGCTCGGTAGAGTAGATTGTTTGGGCATTT